TTGAGGTGAATTGAACGATTAGATTGAAGTATATGAAGGTTTTTATAGATTAAGGTCTCAAAAATTGGAATTTGAAGATTATCCAATATTTCTAAGATCTTCAAAAAAAATTCAATTAGATTGAAAAGATTTTATTTTTTATTTTTTATTTTTATAGATACTAGATTCAAGTTCTAATATTTAAGTGAAATTTTAAAAAAATTTAATAATTTAAAAAATAATTATTGGCATTAGAAGTTCATCATTTAGGTTGAAGTAAGAGGCCGTCCAACATCCACTTGGATTATCTTACATTCCTCTCAATTCATAAGTGAGACTAGTTTCATCTTTCTTGCGTTTGTTCCTACCTAAGACATTTAAAAGTATGAAAATTTTGAATTGATATCAACAATTTGATTATTAATTATTAGGTTGTATTTTGCTATAGGATTTGTTAAGAATTTATTTAAGATTTAGGATTTAATTAAGATATGGTTTAAGATTTGGTTTGGAACTTGTCTAGTATTTGTTTAGGATTTAAGATTTTATTAGGATTTGATCTAAAATTTGATTAAGGTTCAATTGGGATTTCAATTAGGATTTGACTTACAATTTGGTTAATATTTAATTAAGATTTTAATTAAGATTTTTATGTTTAATATTTTTTTAGGATTATTTGTATTTATTTTGTGAGTTCTTTTAAATTTATTTTGATAGATTAAAGTTTGATTGGATTTATTAGGAATTACTTGAAGTTTATTTAAGACTCTATTAGACTTGGTAGAATTGTTGTTGTATTTTATTTATCTTCTATAGCTAGGTACCCAATATATTTTCAAAGAAGAATACATGTAATACAACAATATGGATATTGAATCATTGTTAGGCTCATTGAAGCATATCATTATGAAGATTTGATTTTAAGTTTACATATTGACCTAAAAAATAATAAGGTATATCGAGCATACTTTTTAAACGTTCTTCTTTTGTACCAAAAGTAGGAGATGTAGCTTTTGATCAACAAAGAATAGTAGTCTTAAAGCTTGTGTAATTTTATCTTTGAGTGATAAAATTATCATAGTTTGTTGATTAAATTTTTATCAAGTAAATTCAATCAAATATATTCTCTGAATCACTTGTTCATAATATCAAAAATACTTCTTTTAAGTCTCATGATACTTCCAGGTTTGAGTTCAAAAACAACTTAATTTATCTCAAAGATTGCTTATATGTTCCAAAAAAAAATATATGTTTACATATTTTTTAAGCACATCACAATATTCCAACAATATGACATTTTGAATACAAGAAGACTTTAGAGCTTATATCTAGAGATTTTTGGTGGCTACAAATGAGAAAGGCTATGAGAGACTTTTTCAATCATGTAACATATATTCAAGATTAAAAACTCCTTTTCATTGATCCTATGGACTTTTCAAACCATTGCCTATATCAAAACAACCATGGTTTTTTATTTCTACAGATTTTATTATGGATCTTTTAAATTCAAGTTCATATGAATTTATATTTATGATCATAGATTGCTTCACTAAAATGGCACATTTTGTACTATGTATAAAATCTATTTTAATTGAAGAAATAACTAAGCTTTTCTTTGACAACATCTATTGCTATTATGGATTACCAAAGTATATTATACTAAATAGGAAGATACAATTTGTATCAAGATTTTAGAGAATCTTTTTTAAGATATTGAAAGTAGATATAAAACTATTTTTTGCTTTTCATCCTCAAACTGATAAGCAAACAGAATGAATGAATCAAATTTTGGAACAATATTTGAAGTGAATCACAAACTATCATTAAGATGATTGAACAATATTTTTGCCATTAGTAGAGTTTCCATATGATAATTTGATACATTTATCTATTCAAAAAATATCTTTCTTTACCAATTATGGTTATCATCCACAATTTGATATTTTTGACTTTTCAAAAATTTATAATCTTGCAACAAAAGATTTGGCAAATCATTTATTAGAGCTATATGTAACAATAAAGCCATAGTTAAAAGAAGCTCAAGAATGTCAAAAATAAATATAGATGCCTATTGCAAGAAACAACCATAATTCAATGTGGATGATAAGGTATAGTTACTTTATTACAATATCAAGACTACTCATCATAGGAAGGAGTAAAAAATCTTGCAAATGTAGCAAAGAAGATTGAAGCTTTTCATTGATAACATCTATCAAAATAAAGATGAAGAATAGAAAATCTTTGCTATAAAAGAAACAAGATATATGAAAGATAGCATTCTACCTTTTATCCTTGTTTGTAGCTTTTTTGTATTTATAGCGCTAAAGAGATAGAAAATTAATAACTAGCAAATTCAAATCAAGATCTATTATTTATTGATTTATTGGATGAGGCATTGCGATTATTACAGCCTATGAGATGACGTAATCAAGATGAAGATTATTAAAAATAAACTGTCATTCCTCAAATAAATGGTAAAATATAACTTGTTTAATATCACGACCTTCAAAGAGACTCTCAATATTTTGTGATTTTATTAGAGGTAGGAATGACTCTAGATAATGTTCAAAATGTTTTATTTGAAGGGAGTTATGAAGGCCTTAACAATGATCAAATAAATGGGTGTTCTTCTTGCCTTAGTATGAGATACTATCAATGGCTAAGAAGACCTATCAACCATTTTCGAAGAGAACAAAAATCAAAACATGTATCAAATATGATTTACCACATCTTGAATTTCCTCAATGTATGATGATTGCTTTTCATAGAACTTGTCCGTAAAATGGAAGGTAATGTCGCAAACATATATTTATTTATTTCAATAATTACCTATATGATTAAATAAAAGTAAATAAAAATAAATTAATTTTATAATATCTTCTAGAAAAGCTTCTTAGAAGCTTTATAGATGATGCTTTGACTTTATACATATTTGTAGTTAATTAGTAGGCTAAAAATTTGATCAATAAATTAGCCATATATTATATATATTAATAGCTTGTGAAACAAGTTAACTATATATCACACATATAGATAACTTGCTTTGCAAGTTGAGTCATATGTCTAGCAAAGTCAACATGTGTTGGAGGTCTTATAGAATATTACCATATAGCTTGTAGTTAGAGAGTATATATGGAAACAAGAGTGAAGTCTTCTTCACTCTTGTCAACACCTTTCTAGCCCTTAGTCTTATTTCAAGACTTTCTAGACTTTGGTAATAGCTATTCTAGTTCAATACATTACCATCTTTAAATGATTTTTTAGTCTTTTCAAATAATACAAGAGTGTATTGAAATTTCCTTTCTATGAAATTCATGTTCTTCATGCTTAGTAATGATTGTATTTAAATATTTTCATAAATTTCAATATTTTTTAAAGTCTAATACAAACTAAATCAACTTTCAACTATAGATTAATTAATAATAATTTTTATTTTTTATTGATGATATAATACTATTAAAGAGAACATGATTATTGTTGCATCAATAATTTTAATGACATGTCCTTCTAATAATTTTCAAAAAAAAATTATTTTTAATATTATTAAAAGAAAAGTTAATATATCTTTGTAAAAATTAATTTAAAATCTTTATTTTAAATAAAGAGTAGAAATCTTTGTTTTATTTCTTATTCAAATTATTATAGAAACACCAAGATTATAAATAAATAAAATAAAATAATTCAATGTATTAAATATAATAAAAATAATATAATATAATATGTAATATTATACTAAAGAACTCACAATATTAATTCTTTTAGTCTCTCTTTCTCTACATACATATATATATATACATACATATATACATAATCTAAAAAAATAAAAAAATTTCTTAGTAAAGCATACTATCTTAAAAAAATATCATGATTCAAAATTTTATTAAATATTATTTAATTTTAAAATATTTATATTCTTTTTAAATAAATGGTAAAAAATAGATGAAAAAAAATACTACTTTATTAGTATTAATATATTGGTATATTTTTCTAAGATTATTTTTATAGCATTTAGAAGTTATATACATAATATTGTAATTAAACTAATGTATTTTACAAAACAAAATTAAATGTACTATTGCAACTTATGATGTTCAATGCATTAGAAATAGATTCATCATATCATATTATGATTTAAAATACAAGAATTAAAATTATCACAAAACTTCATTTTCTTTGTAAAGATAGTAATATTCGAATATAATTATCTTTTCACTAGTTAATATTATTCATTGTCAAATAAATCTATTTATAATAGGTTATTAATTTTTAGAATAGGAAACAATATTAGATAGTCAAATTGTATAAGTGCTTATCTTTTTATTTTAAAAAATTTGATAAAAATTAATTAATTATCAAATATTAGAATCAATTAATATTAGATGTTAAAATAGTTAAATACATTAGATAGCTAGATTTTATAAATATTTAAACTTTCTAATTAGTAAAATTTAATAATAATTAATTAAATATTAGATATTAGAGATTATAATTTATATACCATAGAATAGATTCAATTTCCAAGTATTTTGATAGAATAGTGCCTAATAAATATCTAAAAAGTATCTATACATTAAAAAAGTATCTATACATTACTTTGCATAAATATTTTTTTTGTCATGGATACAAAAATTAAGTAATTGAGTTTAAAAAATATCTTAATCAATTAAATAAACACAAAATCTTATACATATAACAATGTAGAAAAAAATAATATATATATATATATATATATATATATATATTGGTAATATTTTATATTCTTAAAAAATATAATATCTAAATCTGACATTCATTTAATATATAAGATCATTACCCTTTATATAAGTTTGGATGCGATTTACTCAAGGCAGTGTGGGCTCCATGTGAGCCATCTTCCCAATCGACGTCCGACGGAAGAGGAAGCTCCGTCAAACGAACGGTAAAGAGGACGACGAACGAGAGGGGGACGATGCAGGCACCTTCGTCGCCAAGCAACCTTTCGTCTAGAAACTTCGGCCCCTGCTTCTTCCACCTCAGTGTTGCAGTTAGATTGCAGACTGGTCCGGTGACTGTGGTTTCTCTCGTCGTCTGAGTGAGTGAGTGAGAGTTGTGATTCTTTGCTTTGATACATGTGAAGGGAAGGGCAACTGTGTTCATGCACTGAATTTGAAAGGTAGTCGCAGATGATTTTGCGGAGACGTTGAATTTGATCGCTGGTGGAGAGGCACTATTTGCTGTAGGGAACCCTAGTGTGGGTTTGGTCAGGGTTACGAAAGCATTTTCTTGTTGAGGGTTTACGAGGGGGAGCTTGTGAGGATGGCGACGCCGTTCATTGCAGGGCTTTCAGTTGCAGCAGCAGCGATGGCAGGGAAGTATAGTATTGAGGCGTGGCAGGCCTTCAAAGCTAGGCCGGCGACGGCGCGGATGCGCAAGTTTTACGAGGGTGGATTCCAACCTGTCATGACGCGGCGCGAAGCTGCTCTCATTTTGGGAGTTCGAGAGAGTGCAGCGCAGGACAAGGTCAAGGAGGCGCATCGCCGTGTTATGCAGGCCAATCACCCGGACGCCGGTGGGAGTGATTTTATTGCATCTAAAATTAATGAAGCGAAGGATCACCTTCTGGGTCAGAAACGCGGCAGCGGGTCGGCTTTTTAGAGTTATGGTTCGAATCTCGATTTATTTCTAGGGTGAATTTAGTGATCGGTGCGTTTGTGATCATATTGGAAGAGGAATCGTCGTGCAGTCATCATCCCCTTCGTTATTAACCGCGCAACGAATGGTGCCCGCTTGATACCGTAATTGGTAGTCCTGCTCTTGACTAGGAGCGTTCTCTCCCGGAAGTGTTGTATACATTTAGATAATAAAAAAAAATTGCTCCAACCACGCTCAACCTCTACATGTGCTTCATGTGTCTTCTCTAAGTAAGTAGGAGTAAGTGAATGCCTGGGATACAGTTGATTCTTGTTTTATTGATGTCTACGTTGAAGCTTACGATGTCTCAACTTTACTATTCCTTTCACAAAATCGTTTGGTTGGCTCATTGTCACGGTTGTCGGGAATTCTCGCCATTGCACAATTGAAGCATAGCAATTGTATGTCTTTTCTCTAAGTTTATCTTGGTGTTGTAAGGCCGAAAGAGTAACACATTATTCACCTTCCACATGAATCCGCATCTGGAAGACAGTCATTTGACTTTGCATTGAGCACTACCACAAGGCTTGCTATAACCATAAACCAAAACAGGGTAGTTGCAAATCGAAGTCAATTAATCCTGTGATCACTAATCATGCATAGTTTGTTACACCATGAGACTACAGCCTCAAAACACAAGCGCAAACAATATTGGAGTTAATCAATATCGTACTTAATTTAAGACACATAGATTTCTAAAAATCCGACAGCCTAGACGCTAGCAAAATTGGAGAGGAGGACGTCAGAGTTTTACATTTGGAACAGCCCTGCCATCACCATCCTCCCCAGCTCCCTCGGAGATAGGACCAGCTGCAAAAAGGAATAAGAGGTTCGCGACATTTCGATCGGCGCCTTTCTGTAAGAGTGCAAGTTTTAATTGGTTTCAGTGGTAGCCGTGACGACGATTGAATTCGCCGAATTCGGAAAATTTAGAGAAGACATGGAATACGTTGCGTCCGCAGGATGTGCCTGCCATTCTACGTTTGATGATGTTAACATAGATCAACTTTATTCTTCATGATCTTTGAAATTTGATAACTCTTCTAAATATCCGTAGGAAAATTATCATTGCTTTCGAGTTTTTACGATGTAGTGCAACCTGTACGTGAGTACTGTCAATGAAGACTAAAATCTGAGGTATTTCGCTTCGGTCAAGCCATCACAGGATTGCTACATTATTTCATATTCTGTAGAATGGAACTGCTATAATCATAGAGTTTGGTAGTAATATCCAATATGGACAATAATCCCAACTGTCACCTTTGAATGTACCTTAAATATTTGAACTAAAAATGAGTTGGAAGAGCACTTAAGGCAGCACAAAGTTCAGCAACCGCTCCAAATCCTCCAGAGTCCGATAAGTTTAGAAGATGCTTGTGAACCATCTTTGAAGTCCTCACCTACCCACTTCTTTACTCCAGCCGTCTACCCAGGAGGCTGTTGCATGCTGTACATCGCCGAGCCTTTTCAAAGAAAAACATCCCCGATTTCTTTGAATAAAACCGTTGAAGAAGTACGCAACCTTAATCATCAAAAAGGCCCCAGTTTTTGAAGTTGAACACATCAATCAACGTCGAAGCTGCATCTAACAACGCCGCCTAAGAAAATAACAGAGGCAGGCACTACGTCCCAAGACGAAACAAAAATCTAGAACCAAGTGAATGTATGCCCTCAACAAAAAAGATCTCTACAAATCGTCCTTCCACAAAACGTGATTGGTAATACAATATGATAGGTTTAGAAGCATGATTTATCAGCTAATTCAACAAACAAAAAGACACAAACAAAGTAGCTTAAGGGCATGCACATCATCCAGAACCAGGCAATGGCTAAAGGACAAAATGTCTGACGCAATTCAGCACAGGAGAAAAAAAACAGAAAAAAAGAAGGAAAACATGCAAGCACCTATCCAAGCGTCACATACAATTCACGCATGAAGATAGGTGAGAGAAAAGGAAGTCCCCTGCAACAATGTGAAAAGATGCCATGGTCTTATGACGGAGGATTCAGTTGATCACAGGGATTGGTTTAGCCAAGGCCCTGCATAAAAAAGATACTTAAGTTAGCACTTCCGACACCAGGAGGCGGGAGGACAACAGGTGCTCAATGTGAGTTATGCATGCAGATACTATCTTCAGTACCAAACCTCCACTCCATTCCATCTTACTGGCTGCTTTTTGACGGTGACGGGGGGCTATAAGCTCGACCGCTGGGGTTGCTATTTGCAATAGCCCTGTAAAACAGAAAAATAATATATATATATGATTCACCCATGCAATGCAGCTACAAAGCACATGTAGCATCTGAGAAAGTTTCAGACAATTTGGTGAACCAGAAAGGCAAACGGTGCATCGTAGTTATGTCTACATGCTACTAAAAAGGGAAACATGAAAAGTTTGGCAGTCGTCCAGACAAGACATCAAGAACAGCAGCGCCAAGATTGAGCAGGAGTTGCATACTTCTTCGGGCTTCGGCTTTTCGAAAACCTCTCGGCTCCACGCGAAGGGGAGGCACGCTTCAGAAAGAGAAATCAAACAAAAGTCAGCATAGTACGTGTTTTGAATATAGGAAATATATGAACATCACAAAATGTATCATAGGTATTGATGTTATAAGCATTTAACATGGAAGTTAAAAACGGAAATGCACATCATTCTTTCTGTGTCATACAACTAGAGTTCATATTAGATTATTCAAGAAAATAGCTCGTAGGTACCACAAACTTTCGAGAAGGGAAATGGCGAGTACATATTTTTGCAACAATTAGAGATTAGGGAGGCACGGGCAAAAATATTTGATACTCAGAGCCATCTCTGCATAGGTCCTATCAGAAGAGATTAACGACCTTTTTAGAAGGACTTTGTGAAGATGAGTAAGAGGTCGACTTTCCGCGTTTGCTTACAGGAGAGCGTGCCCTGCATATACGCGGCATACTTTTAATGAGCGTTGCAGAGGATTGATTGTAACTAAGCTTAAAAAAATTAGAAGATTGTTCACACATAATTGAATGAATGAAGAGCAATAACACAAACCTGCAGAACATAACGCTATTCTAAAATCAGAGAATATCAATAAAACGTGCCACTGTTAATACCTACTTGGAGCTGAATGGGACCTTGAGCGTGAACGAAATGGTCGGCGCGGAGGTGGAGATCTACTGGTACGATGTCTTGGTGGAGATCTGCGGGGTGGAGGCGACCTTACGCGCCTCCCAGATGGAGGAGACCTGCACATCCAATATAAGCCAGAATGTAAGACACTTGATCATACTGCGATACAGTTGATTCTTCAATAAACCAATCACTCGAACTACCCTCTGGACAGCCTTTACGCTATTCTCCACCCAACAAACCGCCTGGCATCGGCATTCAAATTATAATACAACATATTTAAGACAATCATCTTTACTTACCTTCTGCATGGAGGCGGAGAGCGCTGTCGTCCTACAGGGTTGCCTCGTATTCTCCGGGGAGGAGACCTGATAGAGAGATATTCTGTTATAAATCTGCTGAAGAGTTAGAACATGTGGAACTGCGGAAATAGGTTAGTGTTAAACAGTACACCTAACAGGTGAACGACGGCGGCGGCGGAAGGGCGAAGGGGATCGTCGGCGAGGGGATACCACGGGGGGTCGTCGACGGGACGGCGAGGCAGCCATTCTCCTCCGGGGTGACACGGAATGCCTTTGAGAGGGAGGAGATGGCTGTCGTCCTCCACGAGGTGGAGGAGCTGTGAGCCAATATATAATTCAGAATAAGTGAACCAATAAACATGCATAGTACTATAGATCATAATAGGATTCATATCGACTAGAAAAGCCTAAAGAGCTACCACTTACAATCTAGACGGCGTGGACCGTCCTTCAAACCATCACGTGGAGGCACATCTCGTCCACTGAGTTCTCTCTTGGGAGGAGGGGAAACGCCTCTTTTCAACGGAAGAGCACTAGCCTTTTTCCTTGGTACCAATAGAACTTGTGCACTTACGATGTTTCCGTCAATTTGACCCTGCACCATCATGGCGGACATTGTTAAGTACCAATATTACATCACATCATATCAATATTCCATTACATTACAAGTGTTTCAGCAAATTCTATGGTCACTACATCTTGGATAAAACCATATGATAAAAATCAAAAGAAACTTCATGAGCTTTCGTGCGAATAAAATCACAAACCCCGTCCATATGCGCAAGTGCCTTCTCAGCATCTACTCTTGTTTTGAATTCAACGTAACCGTACCCTTTGGGCAAATTCACCTGATCATCTCATAACCAGAATGTCAGACGCATTTGCTACGGCATGATCTGAAAAGAGTCCCTCAAACCCCCAACATATTGTAATTAAAGAAGAACATTTGTACCTTGAACGTCACTCTTGTCCAGAACTGCTGGGAAAACACCTCAAACAAAAAACTACTACTTTTGACGACTTCCAAGATCGATCACAACATTGGGAAGCAAAAGAATTATGGACCTTCAAATAAATGTCCACTACAGATGTAAGCAATAGAAATCGAGGAGAATAAAACAAAAGATCATAGCAGCTTACAGTGCGATCCATCGCCAGCTCCACATCACAATTTCTTCATAATTTCCTATAGCGAGATAGTGCACAGAAATTATTCCCGATGTTTAGTTAAGTAAAAAGCCATACACCAACATGTACCAGCACATACATAGTATTCAATATGAAGTTCACACATTATTACATATTCATGACTATGTAACGGAGGGATAGAAAAAAAAATCATCATTATACTTACCAAATATCTCTTTTACATGTGCTTCGCTCACGTTCCGAGTAAGAAAACCAACATGCAATACAGTGGACTCAGGAATCGAGCTACGCAATTTTCTGTGATCCGAAATATGTCATATCAATAGGCAAAAAAGTTGAAAACCATTTAGTATCACGCATATCCAAAAACAGAGAGTATGTAGAAGACGGTGTGAGGACCAATGGCCAGCAGGAGATTCTCTTCACGAGCTTAAAACAAGACATTCCACACAAATAATGTTGTAAAGATTGCTTACTTTACTGGAGAAACTTTCTTAGATAAAGAAAAGGGTGATCTGATATTCTTTGCACCTGCATTGTCACTAAACTCGACAAACAAATAGCAACACATTATAAGGTCCACAAATATGTAAGCTTCAGATTCAGAAAGTAAACTAACCGACTTGTCGATACGTTCCCGGACACTTACGAAAACTGCGCACTACTTGATGCTTACACATTTGTAAATACGACAGGATGATCTCTAATGTGGCACACAAGGCATTCAATTGTAAAATTAAATGGACGTCCACTACTCAGTTTTAGGTTGGATACTCCAAAAGAGAGAACTAAGAAAGATGCAACGCGACATTGACTTCAAACTTCTTAAGATGCAATGAACAGGAAGTAAGCCCGTGATTGTTACAGCAGAGGTACTGTTTGAACTCCGGAAAAATATCAGAAACCTTTATTTGATTTTAAGAAAACATCGTGACTGTTCAGATAAAAACTCCTGAATCGTTCACAAAACCTGGAATGCACCATCTAATGTACAATGATATCTACCTTGTCAGAGCACAACTATACAAGTTGACTTTCCTCTCGAATCAGCAGCGGTCTTCAAATGAAGTATGAAACTCATTATCATGTTTAAAATTTTCATAAAACTACCTCGTTTTCGCTGGAGGACTCCGACTTCTGGAGGTCTCGCTTCCAGAAGATGACGACGATTGTGACCTTGATCTTGAACCTGATGCTGACGACGAACCCGTGTATGAGGATGACTCAGTCGTAACTGATGGCGATGCCGCTCTAGGTTTCCCTGTGGACTTTGCCATCTCTTTTTCACTATCTGTTCGCCTCAAAATCGAATCTACAAGAGAGAGGAAAACAAACCTGGAAAATTCAACAGAACAAGGTCACCGATTCGATCCTATGAACACAAGCAGAGACTCTGACAAACCTCTATCAAATAATAACGTCCAGAGACCATTCCATATATGCTTCTCTTAACTTGAAAGGAAGCTTAACTTTTAAAATTTGTCGAAATATAAAATGCTCTGATCAATGAAATGCGTCTAAAAGTGTACACGGGATCCTCAACAATCTTAAACCCTACATGTCAACCACCAAACTCAGTGACGACCCTTCTCTGCTCGGCTCAAGAAATGCACGTCTATCCAAACCCACGGCAACAAACGAAATATCTTAGCATTGGTGATTAAATTTTTTAAAATAAATTAAAAATAAAAAAATAAAGAGAGCAAAAGAACTCCAAAAACAAAAGCAACCCAGACTGTAAACACAATAACGACCTTTTCCCAGCACTGCATTAAAGCAAAAAAAAAAGCCAATAATCACAGCCATTATCTACGACCAAACTGCAAAACACTTGCCAGCAAACTAAAACCCAATGGACACTGCTCGAAGAAGCCAATTCTACATCAGCCTGACTCTCAGAAGCGCTCCACAACGGCAATGCCAGAGAAAATCCTCGCTAACTTAACGCAGAGACCACTGTTTCGACTGAACAAAAGCTCATTGCGATCAGAAAAACACAACGGAGTAAGATGATCCGGAGGAGGAAGGAATAAGAAACGCGCCCTTGCAAGAGATCAAACGATCGACGTCAGCATCCCGACGTGCTCCGGGAGAAAAAAAAAATCAAAACTAATTCAGACTCATTCGAAATGTTCCTCCAAGTGCCATGACGCCCTTGGATGAATGAATGAATTTCTTCATTTCTTAGTGGCATTTGATTTTGATGAAAGCCGTCTTCGTTGACCTCTGCTCGCACTTCATATTTCGAGCTTCCAATGTGTGTTTGCTGTGCTTTTTAGGATCCCATCGATCACGTTGTGAAATTGTTGTTCAGAAACGCACAAATAGACCAGTCAAGGAAAACGACAACACTTCGTGTTCTATAGTAGGAATAAGAGCTTCCATGAGTAAATTAACAGGTGATGTACAGGCCCGGCAGGAAATTTGGGTAATTGTGTGCAAGCAATCTGTATTTGCTTGGGACTGGCATTGTGGAAGCGACTGGGATGCAGATTGGAAGCTTGGAAACACAGCAATGGATTTCTCGAGTGGATACACGAACGAGGCTGTGAATTTCCAGTTGGACAGAAATGGGGCTTGTTAAGATAAGCTGCTAGTTGATGGATTGTGTTGGAATGTTAGAAATAGGAGGGGGTTTGCGTTGGAATGTTGTAATTTCATAGGAGAATGGCTGCTGTGATTGTAGGACAAGATCCTACCGAAGCTTTACTGGTGTTGCTGTTTACAATGCAGAACTGGAAAATGGATGTGTTTGCGAAACTGTAATGACTATAGTGATAGAAAGTGAGCTCCTGCGTAGTCATTAAGGGAGTTCGGGCTGCCAATCATTGGGTGCACGCGGGGGCCAGCAAGGACATGGAGGCCGATAGCGTCTTCGTTTCAGCCGCAGTGCTGTTGCAGCTACGCATGGATACAGATCAAGAAGTCATACCGCAGGATTTAAGAGTTCAAGGTTGAAGGCTATGTTTCTCATTTCTTTTGACACATGCGTAACAATTTGTTCAATTACGAGGATGGTGAATTGGAGCCGAAACACCAGCGGTGTGGTTGTGAAGTGGTAACCAGTCCATGCCATGAGTTGGCGTCAGTGTTGATCAATTGTGAAATGTGCTAGTATTGTTGCCCAACATTCTACTCGTTGTAACTCATGCTGAAACTTGGTGAAAGTGATTTAGCTATTTCATCATCGAAATAAATGTAAGTAAATTTGATAATATCCAAGTAATTTTTAAAGTATAATAACGTCTAGTTTAAATTGTTGCAAATCAATTCAAATCACTCTTTTCATATTGCTGAATTTATTCAATAAATTAGAAACAGATTTGATTTAAATCAATTTTTTCACATGGCCAAATTGATTGAATTAGTTTAAAACAAGCTGGATTCAAACTATTTCAACACACACACACACATATATATATATATTCTTTTCCTGTTTTTAATATTTTTTGTTATTGATTCTCTAATTATTATACTAAAAATCCAAAAATATGTATATTATTTTGTTTATATTAAGAAAATGTTTAAACATTAACATATGCTTGGACAATATTTCTATGCAGTTGTACAAGAAATAATAATTAGAGCATAGATCTATTTATATCAAAAATTAAATTAAATATATTTTTTATTTTAATTAAACCCCATTAACATTATTAAATATTTCTATGCTGTTGCTCCTCGAAGATTTCAATGCACAGTTCTGGTAAGTCAGGCTGACACTATGTATTGACAAATTCTTCGAACGTGCGCATATCAGAAACTAAAGATGCGGCGCAGCTTTTTGCGGGCGCTTATTACACTTACGTGTGAGGCTCCCTTTCTTGTATACATTGTCGTGTATGGATCAGAACAGTTGATAATATTTACGTGTTCGAAGTCAGCATGACCATATTGAAGAAGGCTCTGAAAGCATAGATGCAGACTTTGTCGGTTGGGTGGAAGGCACCACTTGACGTTAAGTACTCTATTCACCCACAACTTCAACGTGTCTAGTTCAATATTCCAACTACTCACTGGCCAGACGCGGAGATCAAGATCCGTGAGTATGCGTAACATAAGCAGTTTCACTAAAGAGCTAACATTTCTCAGCGTATCCAATATTCTTTCCTATTAAGCCTTGATAACCTAAATGCCAACAATTTTCCTAAGGATTTCACATAACACACACTCTACATGTTCGTTTACTTCCTTTTCACGCTACCTGCCCTCTTAGCCTTAATAAACTTCCTATTGGGTTTAGCGCCCGAGTCTTGGCCAGTTGTCCCCAATGCAAAACCACCACCACCAAAGTTGAGAGGTTGTCCCGGCTGAGGCGATTGCGCGAAGGGGTTGGCAGCAGCAGGGGAAGGTTGCTGAGGAGATGGTGCAAATGGATTAGCACCGGCAGGGGCTGTTGAACTTCCAAAGCCTCCAAAGACTGACGACGGTGTGGTGACTGGAGTGGAAGGTTTACCGAATGGGTTTTGAGAGGCACCAAATGCAAGAGATTGTTGTTGTGGAGGTGGTGAAGAGGCCATCATCTGACCATCATCAGCCATGTTGTCCTCCATATCGGTTCCCATGCCACCATTCGGAGAAGATCCAAATGCAGGTGCAGTGCCACTCGTACCAAACATAGATGGAGAACTGGGTTTTGCACCAAAACTGAAGGGTGAAGATGATGCAGCACTAGAGCCACCGAAGGCGAATGCACCAGTTGAGGTAGTGGGTGAAGCAGCACTAGATGCTCCAAATGCGAAAGCACCAGTAGAGGTAGTGGGTGATGCGGCACTAGATGATCCAAAAGCGAACGCACCAGTTGAAGTGGTTGGTGATGCAGCACTAGATGCCCCAAATGCGAAGGCGCCAGTTGAAGTGGTTGGTGATGCGCCAGTAGATGCACCAAAAGCAAAGGGATTACCAGATCCGGCAGAAGCACCAAACGCAAATGAGGCTGGAGAAGATGAAGATCCAGCATTGCCTGAAGCTCCAAAACCGAAGACGGGAGGAGACTGTGAAGGTTGTGCTGATACTTCTGAGCTAAAACCTCCAAAACCAGATGTGTTAGGTGCATTAGATACTCCAAATGCCGGAGTACTGGAAGCTCCGAATGCCGGAGTACTAGAAGCTCCAAATGCCGGAGTACTAGAAGCTCCAAATGCCGGAGTACTGGAAGCTCCAAATGCCGGAGTACTGGAAGCTCCAAATGCCGGAGTACTGGAAGCTCCAAATGCCGGAGTACTGGAAGCTCCAAATGCCGGAGTACTGGAAGCTCCAAATGCCGGAGTACTAGAAGCTCCGAATGCCGGAGTACTGGAAGCTCCGAATGCCGGGGTGCTGGAAGCTCCGAATGCCGGGGTGCTGGAAGCTCCGAATGCCGGGGTGCTGGAAGCTCCGAATGCCGGAGTACTGGAAGCTCCGAATGCCGGGGTGCTGGAAGCTCCGAATGCCGGAGTACTAGAAGCTCCGAATGCCGGGGTGCTGGAAGCTCCGAATGCCGGAGTACTAGAAGCTCCGAATGCAGGGGTGCTGGAAGCCCCGAAAGCTGGAGTGCTGGAAGTCCCAAATGCCGAAGCACTAGAAGTTGAGAATGTCGCTGTGCTCGAGGGTCCAAATGCAGGAGTGCTAGACGCTCCGAAGGTTGGTATGCTGGAAGCTCCAAAAGCTGGAGTGCTAGATGCTCCAAAAGCTGGAGTACTTGAAGCACCGAATGCAGGAGCACTCGAAGCTCCACCAAATAAAGGAGCTGGATTACTTGACCCAAATGTTGAACTGCCAAAAAGAGAAGAGGATAACCCAAAGCCAGCACTGACTGATGACGGTGAAGTAGTTGAAGCCACAGGAGTGGAATCCAAGGAGGCAGGCTTCAAGCCGAACAAGGGTGCAGACTTGGACGCTGGAGCTGGCGAGCTTGCGCCTACACCAAATGTAGGGGTAGAGAACACGTGTGTCGATGGCGTTGAGGCTGAGGTAGTCGCAGCAGCAGATAACCCAAACGTCACAGGCGCAGTTACTGCATTAAAAGGTATCCAATGTCAGCCATAAAAGTAGTACCCCAAATTACGACACAAAATAAAACAATGAATTTAAGTCGGTTCATAAAAGTGAACAAAACAGGGGAAAAATGAAGTAAAATACCAAACATTGAAAAATGAGCACCCTGAAATCAGATAAACCAGCAATTACACAAAGAAACCCCTTCAAATTCAGGGAAGTAGAATTATTTGGCACCTGATCCATCATTAGCCTTTTCCGGGCTCTGTCCCAACGCGACCTTTTGAGATTTATTCCCATCATCCAAAGTTACTGCGGGAGCTGTTGACTGCAAAGTAGGTGCTGCTGAAGAACTGCCTGCTGCCCCGAACAAAGATGATCCCTTGTTCATTCCAAAAGCAGAAGAGGATCCAAATGCTGGAGCAGGAGATGTAAAGGTAGTGGCTGAAGAAGTCCCGTTGCTTCCAAACATACCAGAACCAGCAGTAGGGGATGTTTGGGTTGCAGGTTCTGCGGATGGAGATGCTGCCGACTTACCAAAACTGAATACGCTCGACTCCTTATTTGAAACGAGAGTCGCTCCTGAGGAATTCCCCGTACTGAAACCAGTGGTCTGACTGCTTGAACCGAACATACCTGCAGAGGCTGCATGAAGGCATCAGAGGAAGCCAAGCGCATGAATAAATTGCACGTGCTGCCGAAAACTCAATTTGAGCACAACTCCAAACTCCCAGCCAATGCGGTGTGAACACTTTGAGAAGGACTACACAAACTGCTGGGCAGTTGCAAAAACGTTCCTTGAAAGTGTAAACCAGATTCTTAGCATGTCTTTAAACAGGCAACTAAAGTTTAATAATACCTGGCTTGGCCTCGGCACGGGAGGTTTCGAAGTTGGCTAAAGAGACCGCAGAAGGTGAGGTTTCAGGAGACGAGGAACTCAATGTAGACGTTCCTCCCTTCACTTCTTGGGCCGGTTCGGATGTCTCACGTGCAGTCACATTACTGTGAAAACATAAAAAGCATTAGCAACTTCAGCAACATGCATTAGATAGTAACACAACGTACACAGCACTCACACGCTGATAGATTAGATTGATTGTGGCCGATAGTGCATCCATTCTGACGAGTACTTATATCGTTGGACACAAATTTTGAATGTAAATACACAATGGGTTCTCGATTATGGTGTAAGAAATGATCGTTGTAAATACAAGCCTTCGTGATTAACCAAAAGCTGTCTAGTGCTACCTGATTGGGCCAAGCCCAGTTTGATCACAGCAGGCAAGAAGCATACCTTGGTGAAGAGTCCGGTTTATTATCAGACTGATAGTTGAGCTTCATATCCTTGGTATGTACATTATTATCAACTCCTCCTGACCCTGATGTGGGCAATTTAAATACTATATTGTCTGCTGGAGTACCGGTGTTGAACTTGAAAGTGGGCTGCCCATTAAGCTTCGGTGCAGGCCCTGTGCTGGATGGTGATGGAAACGGCTTAGGTGTCGGTGGAGGCTCCATAGCAATACCAAAAGAATTGGACGACTGGAATGTAAAACCTCCTGATGCACAAGTCGACTTTCCATCACTAAAAGTCGTCACAGTTGAAGTGACCAAAGTAGAGTTTGCACCTCTACTCTCTTCATCCGAATCCTATGCACAAATGCAATGGAGCTCCTCAATTTCAATCAGAAGCAATAAATATTATAGGGGAGGGAATCAATAATTTTGAAGAAAGAAAAGAGGAAGAAGAAAAAGAAAGAAGAAAAAAGAGAAAACCTCTTAAAAGGTACAAAAAGAGTAGGAAAAGCAATATAAACAGGCTAAAAGGAAATAAAACTGGGCCCAAGTCTCCAGACATGGCAAGCAATAGTCCACTCACATCAACATCAGCATTGATCTGGAATCCTTTATTCCTTCCCAAGGCAGGACTTGAGTTAGCCAAACTAGACTCTGAGACTTTCAACCTAGATGCGTCCTGGAAATAAAATGATGTTTGATCTGCAAACAAAAGTTCACGTTAGCATACAACAACGCTGGCTATTCTTTGTTTTGCCTACACAAAAAATTTAGTTGTAAATAAACCTCTAGGCTTGCATAAAACTTCTAGTAATCTCCAAAAGAACATCGAACGTTGTCGTCGTCGTCATCATCATCATCATCATTACCATCATCAAGAACATCATTCACAACAAATACTGTAGTTGTACCTGTGCTCTTCTCTTCAAAATTATGTGATGGGATGGAAGCTGACGCTTTGCCTTTGCCTCTGGTTTTTGTGCCATGTCCAGCTCCTATCCTTGAAACCCCAGCAGCAGAGGACAAATCATTCTCAAGATTGCGACCCCGTCCTGAAGGCCCGGCTTCTTCCTGAGGTCCTGCATAATCCCAGGACTGCACACAACCATATTTAGTTAAATTCACGCGGAATTCATAACGTCAATGGAACAAAAGAACAACAGAAATAGTACACCAGAGCAAAGGAAATTATTCGTGTTTAGTGTACCTGCATGGTCTGACGTGCCTTATCATTCATCATACTTGTTGTCAACTCAGTTGATGGACGATCCCTGACTAACGCAAGCTCTGACTCTAAGGACTTCTCTTTTGGAGGAGTCATTATATCCAAGGTTTCTAAGATCTTGCGAGCTGTTGCACTCGCTCTTTCAGGTACAGCTGCATTCATTCCCATTGCTAAACCTTTGGATCCCTCCTTGTGTTTCAAAACATTTTTCACATCGCCTTTCTCCTGAAACAATCAAACCGATTCTACTAGTCACAATACAATCAAAAAAAAAATTGAAAACATCAATGACCAAGGTAAGTCTAAACTAAGCACTACAAAAGGGACACGACAGTGCAACAGAAATTTCACAGTGCCCTCAATGATGAGATGTGTTGAATGGTTATCAATTGATGAAGCTTCTCACCTCTGTATCAGCATTCTGGTTCCACATTGTAATCGATTTTTGTTTGACGTCAACAGGCGTATGTAATATCCTAGGAAGAGGGGGATACATGCCCAGGCCTCCTCTTCTTTGGAATCCAGTACCTGGACCTGGCGAGTACAGAGAGGACCTAGGCCTTAAGCGTCGAATAGCCCCACCTGTAGAATAGCCGCCATCCTCTACGGCTGAAAAACTTCTCTTTTTCGATCCCTGTAAAAACCAAAACAGCTAGTTAATAACTATACTGAGCTTAAACAAACACTAGAAATGCCTTCAGTTTCTCTATGAGAGCATAGTCTCAGATAATGCAAGCAGAATTCAATCCGCGATTGTTCGACGACAAAAAAACTATGACAAAAATTACTACAGTAAAAATTAATTTCTTCGCAAGTACTATGCAGTATAAATGCACGGGAAAAAAGCGGCGCAGCTTTCATGAGCGTAAAAGAGAACATGTATTGAAGTAAGATAGCGATCTCCAAATTCTAAATTGAATACGATCGGAATTTGAGAATCCATTAACGCGGCTTCTAATGGTACTTACAATGTTACAAAATTCCCATCAAAGTAGACCAGCATTCAAGGCGATTCCTACCTCTCCAGGCAATGGATATCCAATCGCTGAACTGACTGCAGTGGCGCGAGGAACAGGCTGAAGATGTCCTACGGTTCGAGTGACAGGTGGAGTTCGCAAATTGTCATCAAAAACACCGTCTCGACTTCGAATGCCACCCGGAGAAAGAAGACCAAAAGTATTAGGAACAGTAGCGGATTCATACTGAGCAGAGAAGTTGTTTGATTGTTGCTTCCTCGCCAAATAAGGCGAAGGCTGGTAAGGTGAATGTCGTATTGGAGTAGGAACTTTCTCCCGAACAGGTGTAACCACTCTTGTGACTCGCTCTCCCATGTAGGCCCTTGCAACATCAACTGCCACAGTTTCTCCAATCTGGAAGAACATTCATCTGTCAGTGGATAGAGTACTAGTCACGTACGTCACAAAAACAGCATGAAAGCTAGATAAATCACGATGAAGAAAGAACACAGACAAGTCCTCCATTCTTGAGATACCTCAAAGGTCCCAGGACCTGCGCGGGTGCCATTTTCTTTTCCAGAACCACCTAGCCAAAGGCTACTTTTCTGCTCTTGTCGAGCTTTAGTGCGTTCTTCCCTCCACCTCTGTGCATCGGAAAGCTGACCGCTGCTTGGCGCAGACTCGAGAGCCGGAACTTGGTTAACATTAGCAGTTTTTGGTTCTTTGCTTACATGATCAACTTGCTCTTCTGCAGCCCCAGTCTGCTTAAACGACCTTAAACTCGCAATTAACCGATCAGCTTCTTCTCTGTCAGGGGAAAGAGACTTGTCTTAGAGTGTCACAACGTTAAAGAAGAAAGAACGACCAGTCATTACGAGATTCAAGACCAACGGGGCTGCGTGGCCAGGCTAATATTAACACTCATAAAATCTAAAATAAATGTCTTTTGTGTTGCGAGTACGTTAGAGGCAACATGACCAAGTATTGCATCTGACATGAAATCCGACATGTACTAACAATATTAGAACGCACCCTGGGAAGGTCCTCCTTATCCAACTTTCCACTTCTGATGAATTGTCTTCATCGCCATGCTGACTACCGGCTTCCATTGACTCCTGCGAAAAATTTCGTCCACAACTCCAATAATGAGATAATATATAAACAAACTAATATGATGAATTCACCAGTCATCTTGAAGACAAACACTCTTCTACGCCCATGACGTTGATTTACACTTAAGTTGATAAATAAAAACGGAACGGAATCGAAAGATAAAAAAGCGTGCATCATAGAGCACTTAAATAGCTGGTGTTGAAGTTACACGGCACAATGACACAAAGTCAGGAGAAAGGAGGCTAAAGACATGATGAAAAGAGATTCTTACAGCTTCGGCAGCTGATGGCGACATCATATCCGTTTGTCCGTCAGCATATTCTCCTGCGAAAGACAGATTGTAATGAGGGAGTAAGTTAGAGCAAGATAGCCAATCAAAAGTAGCTTGAAGAATATAACAGAACTTAACAGTCTGAAATTCAATCAGACAAATGACCCCAAATATTAGATCAAACTCAAATTTGAAAGGTATGTACATTGCAGGTTTAAAACCATGATCACAGACCCCTAAGATGAGAAACTACATAACTCACACACAGCGTGTGCCTCGTCGTCAAAAATTCGCCGTAGGTCAAATAACGCACTAAAACGCACATGCAAGTGCATCACAAGTCTCACCCGCGGTTTTTTCCGCATCTTTAAGAAGAAAAACACCGCCCCCAGCCGGACGCTTGAAAAATGAAGAATACAAATACGAAGCTCCGGTAGTGACAATCTTGGAGGCAGTGCCAAGCAACCTCGACCCTAGCCACCCTTCCCGCCTGTTTCCACCCGCAGTCCCTCCATTCGCATTAATTAAAGCCTGCGGCCCTGCCGATGCATGGCGCCCAACGGCCGGCCGGTCGTAAGGCGTGCTGTTTCGCTTCGGACCTCGCCGAGCTCGCATCTTGCCACCCCCACCTCCACCATACAGCGACCTGTCCCCATTCTGCACTGGCGAAAAAGCTACGCCCGCCATCCTCTATCCTTGAAGAACTATAAAACGAAACAATCACTCTAGCTCCTACACGAATATGCGAAACCACTCGCAAACAGCTGAGCTCACACCGAGCAGCCTTTTCCCCCACCCCGTGTAGGCATGATCTCCGTCCCAATCCCTGTTGCGTCCTCGCAACCGCTCCTTTCTGCTCCAGCTCCTCCCTTCGCTCCCTGCGAAAGAGACGAAAGGACTCTGCTGCAACAGCTTAGGGTTTCAAAGAAAGGGCTGGCAAACGCCATCGCCGGGCCTGGGAGACGACGAACCCAAGACCGTGCTCCCGCCCTGCGACCGGGACGCCACATCTTTTCGCGCGCCAACAGCCGTCCCCGGCATAATCTGCCAGCGTGGCCACTTGTCTGGCACGTCCGTCCTTTTTTGTCCTATTCGCCGCGATTGAGACTGCGCTACCCTGTTCTATGTTCTCCGTTCTCATCCCCGTTCCCCACAATTTAGAACTGCCATTGCCCGCTTCATTAATGGGAACTTGGGGTACTTCTATCTTTTCATAAAATTGGTATTATGTTGTTGGTTGAGGGCTTCAGCGATTTTTGTCTTAGGAAATCATCATATGTCAATGGTTCGAGAAAGGGAAATTTAAGATGTTCATTGTGAGCTAAAATAATCCCCACTGATTGGTAGTTTGATTTAACTCGTACAAAAATTCATGAAGCTTTATAAAGTTAATAATTACTTCTGTTTGTAACTTAAAATCCAACTTAATTGCCAATAATAATTTCCTCAATTAATTCATGGAAAATCATTCATTATTACAATAAAATAACTTTTAAATAATATTTCATATTTAAATTTAAAAAATCATCTAATCATAAATTCACCTAATATGAAAGTTTCATCATAATATGGAAGATATAAAAAATAAGCTTGGAATACTTGCAATAATAGTCATACAAAAAGAATTTGAACTTTCTTATCAATACATTAGTTACTCACTCTTCAAAACTCTCTATAAAAATTATATCTATATTTGATTCCCTTAAGTTACTAAACATTATTATCTTTGACTTGTGCTACTAATAATGTGCAGATCTTGTGGCAATACTTAAAATCAAAGTAGATTAAAAGTTGGTCTAGCTTGTAGTATTTAACTATAAAAATTCAATTGAAATTCAATTAATTAATCTAAATTGGTAGAGTTGGAGCAATTGACGACCTTAGATATTAAGATAAGCATTATTGGCTTTTTTGATATTATATTGCTACTTTATTTTTTAATAAAATATCACGTAATTTATCTAATTCCAATATTTTTATAATTTATAGCATAATTCTTACATTGAAGACTTATTTTGTGCATCAAATATTTATTACTGAAGAGGATTTAAAAAATTATGTTTTAATTACTTTTTAAAACATAGGATTGTAATGAGACATATTGTGTAATTTTATATACAAGCTAATGATGTGGCACATATATAAAAAACTTACTTTATAAATTAGGACACATGTCTTACAAATTGGACATGTGTTGGAGATCCTATAAAATATTACCATCCAATTTTTAGTTAGATGATATATACAAAGACAAGAATAAAGCCTTCTTTACTCTTTATCAATGCCTTTCTAGTCTTTAGTCTTGTTTCAAGACTTTTTAGTCTTTTTGTATTTTGTAATAGTCATTTTAATTTAATATTATACCATTTTTTAGTGAATTTTTAGTCTTTTCAAGTAACACAAGAGTGTATTGATCTTTTAATTCTTTAAGATTCATGTCTTTGATACAAACATGTATAAAGTCAAATTTTCATTTATAAAGCTTTTGAGAAGCTTGTACAAAAGATATTATCAAATTTACTTGTATTTACTTATTTCTATCTAATTCCTTCAATCTAAGTATATATATATATATATATATATATATATATATTTATAAAACACATTGTATCTTGCTATTTATTTGAAGAAGAATATATCATTCTTAAAGGTCTTGTCTGTATTATATTGTCTTAAAGCCTAAATTATATTTCTTTTATAGCAAAGATTTGCTATTATTTATCTTGATTTTAATAGATATTATCAATAAAAAAGCATCAATCTTCTTTACTACATTTACAAGATTTTAAGCTCGTTTCTATATATGTTCATCAATATCATATCTGCACTAATGAATAAGATATTTCAACTTGTTTTGGCAATGCTTTGAATCTAAAACATATTCTATTTTAAACATTTGATTATTATCTACTTCTATAAGAGGCAGTAGCATTTGTCTTCTTCTTAAGATATTCATTGTCTTATAAGACTCAAGAAGAGATATGCGGAATACATGATGGATCTTCATAGACTCCAATAAATGTAATTAGTAAGTAGTTGGATTGATTTATTTACAAATAAGAAATAGATCAAGTCTACAATGATCCAATTTGTTACAAGGTATCATGGACATACGCAAATAAGCTAATAATTACCTGTATAAATAGGTAAAAGTAAGTAGAAGTAGGTAAAAGCAAGTTAATTCTATAATATCTTCTATGCAAGCTTCTTAGAAGCTTTATAGATGTTGCTTTGACTTTAAAGGTGTCTTTAATTGATTTTTTGGATTAGAAACATAGTCAATAAGTTGGCCATATACAACACATGTTGTTAGCTTGAAGACCAAGCTAACTATGTAGCCCACACATATAAAAACTTGCCTTATAAGTCAAGGCATGTATCCTACAAAGTCAATACACATTGGAGGTCCTATAGAACATCGCCACGTAGCCCTTAATTAGATAGTATGTATAGAGACAAGAGTAAAGTCTTTTTAACTCTTGTCAACTCCTTTCTTGCTTCTAGTCTAGTTTCAAGAGTCTCAAATTATCTTATCTTTTGGCAATAAGCCTTTCTAGTTTCTATTAATATACATATTTCTTTATTTCTATTTTTTTCACTCTTTCTTTGATATGGATTTCATTGCTTTATGCATCATCTTTTAGTTCATGTTCTTGACAGATTGACAAGAATATACTTACAATATTAGAGCTTTGTCTTATCTTGATTCAGAGTGGATTATCCCTTTCTCATCATAAAACATAAGCATATTAGAAGTTATGGATTACCCTCTTCTAAATTGATATTGTTTTGAGTATTTTCTCTTTCCTCAAGTCTTTTTTTTTACTTATCTTGAGTGGTATTAGATATTTTTGTGAGTATTATTATGGCAAAGCTTATTGAAATGAGGAGTGCAATGGTACAAATGGAAGAGTAATTGAGAGAATTGGTGCTTGTGATACATCAACTTAGCTTACCACCACAAGAATCAACAAAAATAGTAAGAAGTGAGGATATAGAGATGATTAGAGCTACTTCAACATCTGCACCAAATCATGTCCCTCCATCTAAGGTAGAACATCTTTTTAATATTAGAGAACCAAGAGTTGCCCTGCCCCAGAAGTATGATGGTACAAGATTCAAATTTTGAGGATTTATCAATCAAGTACAACTTGTGATTGAACTTCAACCTGAAAGCTATCCAACTTCAAGATGACAAGTTAGATTCATTGGCACATTTCTTTCAGATTTAGTACTATCGAGGTTTTTATCTTTTTTTGAATGACGAGATCCAATATTCAATAATTTGGAGGCATTTTTGGTAGAATTTTGGTCCATGTATGGAGAACATGATGCAACTTGTGTTGCAACTAATAAGATTCGTATTTTACGACAAGGTAATCAATTTGTAACGTTAGATGCTTCACAATTTTAACAACTTGCAACTGATATCAAGTGCAATGATGTTGCACTTATTAGCCAATTTCTCTATGGATTACAATATGAAGTAAAGAAATTGATGCTCAACTTACCTGATCCTCAAACATTGAGTCAAATAATTGACTTTGCTGTGAAATATGACAATCAATTTTTTAAATTTTGATCTAAGAATCATACAAATAGGCCTCAATGTTACTACAATTTGATGGAAACACCAACATTTCTTCAATACATACATTCAGAAGTAGAGGATATGTAAATTAATGAAGTACATTTCAAATCTCTTATTGAGCAAGAAAAGACTCATCGCTGTCAAGAAAGATTGTGCTTATATTATGGAGAACTTGAAAATACTACTCAATATTCTCCAAAGAAGCAACAAAATCACAAAATGAGGAGCACATCTATCAAAAAAGATAATGTGTCAAAAAACAAATTTGTCTAGCTATAATACAAATTGTGCACTTAGAATCTTATACAATTTCTAATGAAGGTCATATCCTCTCTTTAGAACCATCTCCTTGTTTTATAATAGATATGCATTTAGGACCTAATAATTATAAAGCCTCTGCCTTAATAGATTTAGAAGCCTCAGCTTATTTTTTAGACATAAAATTTGTTAAAAATCATAAAATACCATTCGTACAAAAAATCAAATTTGTTCATGTAGAAATCATAGATGGTCGTCCGTTGTCTTTTGGAGATGTTACTCATAAAATACTTCCTATAGATGTAGCAATAAATGGTCATAGTAGTTGCATAATCTTTAATACAATTAGATCTCTCTCTAATCTAGTTATTTTAGGTTTATTATGGTTAAAAAAGTATAATCCTTGAGTGGATTGGATTTCTTGTATCCTTGACTTCTCTAAAAGCATAATTAAGAGTAAAGTTAATCCAGTAGAAAGTCATAAGTTTAGTGCAATTAAACCTATGTTTGTACGTGCAAGAGCTTTCTTGCATGCTGGTGTCATGGACATATATTTATTGTAATTATTACTTAGGTGATATAAATAGGTAGAAGTAGGTAAAAGTAGATTAATTTCATAATATCTTATTGAAAAGCTTCATAGATGCTGCTTTGACTTTACATGTGTTTATACTTGATTGATAGGTTAAAAACTTGGTCGAGAAATTAACCACGTGCTATATATGTTGGTAGCTTACAGAATAAGTTAATTATGTGGCACCCACACAAAAAACTTGCCTTGTAAGTTAAGATATGTGTTGTGCAAAGTCAACACGTTTTTGGAGGTCCTATAGAATGTTGTCACGTAGCTCCTACATAAATAGTATATATAGAGGCAAGAGTGAAGCCTTTTTCACTCTTGTCAACTCTTTTCTTACTTCTAATCTAGTTTCAAGGATCTCTAATTTTCTTATCTTTTAACAATAGCCATTCTAGTTTCTTTCTTGATATACATATTTAATTATTTCTATTTTGTCATCTTTCTTTGAAAAAAGTCTCACTTATTTATTTATTTTTATCAAATTCTTCTC